TAAATTATTTATTATAAATTAAAATATAAATTATATATTTATAATATTTATCTAATTCATATTAAAATTTTAAATATACTTATTCATTATGAATATTATATATAAAAATATTTATCTTGTAAAATACAAAATTAAGAATAATAGTTAGTTATCATTAATACATATATTGTGTATATATATCTTGTAAAAAAAAAGTTAAGGATAAAATTTATTGTGTATATATATTAATTATTTTTATTATTAATGTATTATTATTTTATATATTTATAATAATATTAATTTAAGATTATATATATATATATGTAAAATGTACTTTAATTTTTTTTATTGTAATTTGATTTGATTTCTAACTATTATGATAAATTTTTTTTACCAGTTTTATTATATGAAGAATTTTATGAACTTTATTAGATATTTTATTTCAAGATTACAAAAGAATATTTAATGAATCAAATATTAAATTATAGTTGATCATTCTATAACAAGTATTAAGATTAGAAATATATATATATATATATTAGTTGGTTACATTTAATTTCAATAAAGATGAAATTAGCTCTTTATTATCACAAAAAATACAAAAAGAAAGCAGAATTTATGGAAGATAAAGAACCAATCAGAAGCTTTAAGGTGGTGAAAGAAATCCTAGTAGCATTTGGAAGATCTTAAACTCATCTTATATGAGATGTTTCCCGAAATCTCAAAGAGAGAGAAATAAAATAAACAAAAAAAGTTACATAATTAAAATGATATCCAACACAAATTAATCCATACTAGCTAAACACAAATACAATAATAAGAAAGGACTATTTTTACCAGATCACGTTGAGTGTGAATATAGGTGTGTCAACAAGAGCGAGACAAACTCTTTGTTAAAATTACATTGGAAGTAAGGAAAATGTTATCTGACATTGTAGAATCTTCAAAGAGGCCTTCTTTAGTTATTTTCTCTTCATTTCCATGTTTCATCTCTTACTCAAGTTGTTTCAAATCCACTTCTAGATCAAATATTAGTAAAAAATTGAGGATTAGAGATATAATTAATCAATGATAATCATATTTTAATTAATTAAAAAAAATTATTAAAAAAGAGTAAACTAATTAATTGAAAACTTAAAAAATTGATATTATTAATATAAAAATCAATAATTATAAGTACAAATTAATGTTTTCAGTAACTCGGCTGCATAACATGCGAGTATTAATCTTAAGTAAAAGTTTAAGTTTATCCAAATTCATCTTATTGTGTAATATTTTCCTATGATTACTTTAACTGATAAGTTTGATGGTTACTTCATAACTTTATTTTACTACATATTACCAAGGATATTATATAATAAAGAATGTCTCGGGCTGGACAACTTAGTTAGAAAAGTCAATAAATAAGTTATTATTAGTTCATAATTAATCATCATTCACTTGATAAAAATATTGGTTGTTTTCCACTCATGAAAGAGATACATTGGAATTGTAAACCTTATAGGTATCAATAAGTGATGAAATATGCATGTCTATAGAATAGTCAATGATGGAATCATATCCATGTAACAATCACGTTTATTCCAAGGAATGTTACATTCATTTTTTATAGTTAGTTTTAATGTGATAGTCATGAGAGTTCACTTCACAACTAGTGTGGTAGCTTACCTATGTATATATAAGATGTGAATGGTGAAATGAACTATCCTAGATATATATTCATGGAATAATACAATTTCGTAACCGAAAACTTTTCTTTTGTGGTAGGCAAATTCAACTGTTACTATCGAACAGGTTCAAATTATATCCCATCTCACATATTCTTTGATTAGATTATTATTCCTAGAAACAAATTATACCCATATTCCATGCATGAAATCACTTCAAAGCCTTTATGGTAACTAAAACTTGTTTCCCTATAGATTGTTACATCATCTATATTCATCTACATATAATATATAAGAGATGTTATTTTATATATTTTTTAAAATTATTTTACTTTTATAATAACTACCTTTAAACACTTCATTTTTTCTTTTATTCTTTTTATTTAAAAAAAAATAGATGTCTCTTTCCCCCTAATTATGTAAAAATTCATTGGATACTCAACAAACAAAATTGAGTTAATTAAATTCATTATATTTGAAAGTATTAAGTAGTTTTCTTGTGCATGTGACTAAGGTCCTGTTTGATTGTAATTTTCAGGAATTATTTTCAATCATTAAAAAAAAAAAAGGGTTTGGATATGGTTTAATTACAGGTGGTTTAAAATCTGTTATTTTCATATTTTTATTTTCAAGCCTCGTGCTATCTTACACTGCAGAATTATGTACATTTTTTTTTATAAAAAAAACTACACTTGAACCTTTTAACAAACAAGTTTTCCTTTTATTTTATTTTATTTTAAAAAATAAGTAATAAAATATAATATTTTAATAATAAGAAAATAAAAATAGTAAAAAATTAGATAATCAATTAAAACTTGATAATATAATTATAACAATAATTATTATAAAGAACAATTACTCCGTATATTATTTATTATAACAAAGACCAGTATGATGTTGAATAATTGGCAAATAATTATGCACGTTAAGCATGATGTATGACTCCTAACTTATATATAGAGATGGTGCCAAAATAAAATTATATATAGAGATATTTTTTCATTTAATATTTTTTATGTTAATTACATATAAAAATATTGAAAAAACAAAACTCTAAAAATATATAATTTTAAAGAAAAAAGTTCCAAATTAACCAATCTTAATTACAATTTTTAAATTTCAAATAAAAAATAATTAAAATCTTTTATATTTTCAATGTCTAATTAATATACCTTTTTTTTATTTGACATTTTTATATTCACAAATAGTATCAACATAATTATTTGATAAGCCTAGTCCCAATAGGACATACCGATATAGAGCAACACTTAAAATTATCAAACATGTTACATCAATTACCAAACTTTTATGTAAATTGAAGCTTTTCAAAATGATCTTATTTTTAAAATCATTGATTAAATATATTGATTTTTTATTAAAAATTTAGCATAAATTTCACAATTATTTATCGAATCTTCCAAATTCAAAAATGTTATACAGAATATGTGAAGATACATATTAATGTATCTGTGAATAAAGAGGGAGAGAAAAACCTATCTATTTTCTTTCTCCTATTTTCGTATACAGAACATGTGAATATAAGAATACGTATACAGTTTTACGTGTCAAATAATTTCCTTATCTATTTTCTACATAAATTAAATAGAATTTTCCTTACATGTAGTAGCCATATTTGCACATCAAACAACAATTTTATATCATGTGAATGCCCCCACTTTTTTTTTTTTTTTTTTTTTGGCTTATTCTGATATCTCCACCGTTCACGGCAACCTTCATTCATCTATTTATTCAGTTTCTCCCACTCAACCCTTACCCTTGTCTTGTGAAACTTTGTTTCTTATCTTCACCTCAACACAACAACCTTCCTCTGTTTGAGTGCCTTCCCCTGCATTTTCAACTATCTTTCTCTTTTCATATCACTCATCATGTCTTGCTTAGAAACTGAGGTCTGCCAAGAGGTCAGTATAACAACTTCCATACATGCATTGCATAGTTATTTATTTACTCATAAACTTTTGAAAACTTCAAAATTTATACTTGTGTCATAAAGTTCATATATGTGTCTGTATCATGTCTAGTGTTCATGCTAGAAAATTCGTGTCTATATCGGATCTAGTTTGTGTCTGGTGTTCATGTCAAAAAATTTGTGTTTGTGTAGTGTTTGATATTCATATAAAAAAGTTTGTCTCTATATCATGTCCGGTATTTGTATAAAAAGTTTGTATCTATCGTTTGGGATCCGCGGAACCATATATTTAGGCTTATCAACAATTAATGTGACAAATACTAAAATACTTGTTCATTTATTTTGTGTTGAACACTCTCAACAGAGAAAGCATGGAGAAGAATCAGAAGAGATCACTCTTGATGGGAGTGTTGATTTGCATGGCCGTCCTGCAATCAGAGCCAAATCTGGAAGATGGCCTGCTGGAATTATCTTACTCTGTAAGCTCCAAAATCATTAATTACAGAATATTTTTTTTAGTATACTTTATTATCTAACTTTTTATTTTTGGAACTTGATAAAGGGTAAAGCATCACATCATGTGTATCCTTCTTTAGTCTTTTGATGTACAATAGCTTGCGTTTCTGTCCTTATAAACAGGTAAATGGTAACACGGAAATAGCCGATGGCACAATATGTTAACTATCTCCCTTTCCATTTCCCTTAATTAAGAAACTGTTTCTGTTAAGGGACAATTCCTTCACCAGTTATTACTCGAATGAAATGAACGTTTGAATTTCCATTACTATACATATCATGATTGAGCCTATGAATCTCAAGGGTAAAATATAAAAGTAAAATACACATGCAGACTTAAATACATACATAAAAATACGTATACGCACATGATGAGATGATTAGTGTGATATATACGAATACGTAGGCATAGAAGTTTCAAGAGTCTTGTTCTGCATATTGATGCGGTTGTGTGCATATTAGATAGCTTATCATGATATATATCAGAAGGGGTTGGTTTTATGGAACTAGAAGCGACCAAGTTAGGTGCTAAAGTGTGAGTTACGGAAAAGAAGGAAACGACAAGAGTTAAATGCAGGAACGTGTTCCATTTGTTGTACAAAATCCAAACGAAACATTTCAGTCAGCTTTGCTTTTCTGCAAGCCTGCTTTGTGAACTGTGTTTGGCTAGCAGCCAGTTACATACAGCTATGCCTCGGCTGTCTCGCTACTATATAACTACTTCTTCCACCATGCATGCATCTTTCTCTTTCTAGAGAGAGACAAAATTCAATTATTAGCTTAATTTAGATGCACATATATTGGACTCTTAATTTCGTAGTTTATGTAATAAAAATTTATGTTAAAGAAAAACAGGTTTTCTTTTACAAAACTGATAAATAAGAATTAATATGTATTGATAAGACATGATAAATCGATGATTCGTGCATCATGACAGCCCTTATAATCAATTGCGAAGAATGTTAGTTAAAGATGAAGATGAGTTAGTAGAAGAGAAAGTTTATTTGATATATATTGTTATTAGTAAAATAAAGTTGAATAGTGCATGATTAAAAGGATAGTATTGAAAACATGTAAATAAGAATTTATGTTTACTTAAAATCTGTGATCTGACAGAGGATAGAGATTCTGAATGAAGGTTTTGGCTTTGTCCTTGTTTATAAGCGACAAGAGGCCGGGAAGTGTGTAAATAAGTTGGAAAAGGGATAAGTTATATAGTGAGGAAAAGAAGCATGCATTTCAGAGAAATACGTTTCTGACACGTAATAAGTGGCGGAAAATTGCATGACATGGCTGATGCCACGTGTCCGCAAGGATAGACACACATATGCATGTAAATGGGTGCAAGTGTAAAATTGTGTGTTAGGATTTACTAGTGCATAGAAAAGGAGGGTGATGGCCAAGTATATTAATACTAACAGCTGTTTCGGGTTACTTGATAAATGCACGTCCCTGTAGTTCGTTCTTAGTAAGGAAAACTGATATAGGTCACCATCTTATAATTATTTACAATCCTTTTTAGGTTATTTATAAGTCGTGCCGTGCGTTCTGAGTGCTGAGTTAAACAACGTGAACAAGTGATATGTTTGCATGTGTAATTAATGTTTATACATATATTATTTTCTTTTTCTGGGGTTGGTATAAGAATTTTAATTTTAAATTCCAACCTTTTATATATACATGCATATAGAACTCTGATTAGCTTATATATATATATATAATATCCTTTTTTTTCCCTCTTCACTTTATTATTATTATTGTTTGAAAAGCAAACCCTCTTCTCTTTATGTATTAGGTGTCTAGACATTTCACTAGAAACATAAAAGAAGTGTAAGAAATTACGTGAGGTCTTGAAAATAATATTTATTTGTCTTAGATTTGTGGTGGGGAAAGATATTTTCTCGTTTACTACATGGATTGTGGATAGTTAAATAATAATGCCGGATATTGAAACCATGCCAATTGAGGTTGTTGTTTGTGTATGGAAATAAAAGGCATCCCCCCTTCCAGGTCTAAAAAAGATGAAAAATGTTTGTTCAATTGTACTTTTCTTACTCTCCGTATCAATTGTCAAATTACTTGGAGATCAGAAAGAATAATAGAGGATTAGAACTCGTTTTCCAATAAGTACAGTAAATTAAGGTAGATGTACAAAAAAATGACGATAAATTGTTAAATTAATATAACAAGAAATGTAATTTTTACGCAAACTTAATCTTTATAGGCATAATTAATTTAAAATTAAAAATAATATTCAAATAATTATATACATATATATATATATATATATATATATAT